CCAAAAGCAAGATGTAAATGCCATATAATTTACTCCTTGAAGGCATATCGTTGAGTAAAGAGCCGTAACATAAACTCTGACATTCAGCAATCCCCTAAATGACAAAATATTAGAGCAAATGAAATTTAAAAAACTTACAGATGTATAAGGAGATAAAGCAAATGAAATATATGAGAATAAAATACTTAAGATGGGAAAACTGAATAGAGAACCAAAGTAGGTCATTCTGATATGCTGAACTAATAAGAGTATACCTGAAAGCAACCTAAACAGGTAGAAGTAGAAGCCCCAGGTAGAAGTAGCATAGGCTCCGGAAAACCATTTGAAACTGAAGTTACACCAATACTTGCTAGCTGGGTATGTTGGATTTTACTGTAGTGAACCCATATGTATGATCAAGCCACACAAAATGGCTGTTCTCTTGCTCTCTGTACATTTCCCTGCTTGAACAGCCCCTGCTTTACATTATCCCACTCATAGGATAGGACTGACCTTTTTTCTTAATCATAGAGATTAAACTTCTTAAGTGCCTGCCCCCTGTTTCAACCAGTAATTGTTGTATTCTTAGAACAGAACACCTCTAGCATACTGGGTTAATAAAGAGAACCCTCGATGGTTGTTAACCAAAGGAATTGTGAAGGAGGTCATCTGTTGGTTTCCCTGGTAGTTGAGAGCCCACATGACATCCATTCCCACTGTACACCTTGCCACCCTACCCCCATGAAGACTGCTGCCTTGTCCTGTCTGCTGTTGGTACACAGTGGGGAATCATTCTAGAACTCTGCTTCAGACCTGTAAGATACCCTAGCCAATAAACTATTGATGTCTCTGTTGCTGTCTCCAGACATTTTCTTTGGTCTCAAGGTTAGGGGATTACAGGACTTGCAGGACTACAGAGTACAGCCTAACATCGTGATTCTCCTGTAAAATGGAGATAATAATGCAGCCCCAGTTTTCTTAGGACATTATGAGATGATATACACTGCTTCCAAGTGTGTTCTTGGGAGCTGGATGAGGTCTGCAAATGTTACTATGAAAGAGACATTACATAGATTTTTTCTCTTTCAACAAAATAAGTAATTATTTAATTGGAGAAATAAAAAGTATAATAACTATTTCACCACAGAGTGATCTTCTCTGGGTCATACAGTTAAATAGTACATTAGTTAACTAGTATTTTTTTTCACAGCTGTACTAAATACCATTGGGAGCATGGAAATTTATTGCTAAGTAGTATGTGGACTCTGGTATTTAAAATGTTGAAATAGAGTGAACATTGTGTTTTCTACTCTCTTTAAGTCTTTCTGATTAAGTAACGGGAAGTGTTAATTTGGTGCTGGTAGGTCTTCAAGGCCTAATACATATTAATCCTTGCTCACTTCCCTGATCTTTCAATGTAATAACAAAGAACAATTTTCAGGCTCAGAGTGCATGCTCTTGTTCAATCACAGCTGACTCTTTGCAACCCCATGAACTGCAGGCTGCCTGGTTCCTCTATCCATGCAATTTTCCGGGCAAGAATAATGGAGTGAGTTGCCATTTCCTCCAGGAGATCTTCCCGACCCCGGGATCCAGCCTCGAGTCTGAATTCTTATCACTGCACTACCTGGGAAGCCAAACTAGTAGGCAGTAAATAGCATATAACTGAAGTTGAATAACATATATGGGCTTCCCCGGAGGCTAAGTGGAATTGGCCTGTGTTGCACGAAATGCTGGTCCAATCCCTGGGTCAGGAAGATTCCCCTAAGAAGGAAATGGCAACCCACTCGTGTTCTTGCCTGGAAAATCCTATGGACAGAGAATCCTGGCGGCTTACAGTTCGTTTGGTCACAAAAGAGTGGGAAATAACAGCGAGTGGGAAACAACTTAGCGACTAAAGGACCACCACTGGGAGACCGAACCTTCCTCTGGGAGAAACACTGAAAACAGTGGCTGACTTTATTTTGGGGGGCTCCAAAATCACTGCAGATGGTGACTGCAACCATGAGACTAAAAGATGTTTACTGCTTGGAAGGAAAGATATGACCAACCTAGACAGCATATTAAAAAGCTGAGACATTACTCTGTCCTCAAAGGTCCGTCTAGTCAAGGCTATGGTTTTTCCAGTAGTCATGCATGGATGTGAGAGTTGGACTATAAAGAAAGCTGAGTGCCAAAGGATTGACGCTTTTCAACTGTGGTGTTGAAGAAGACTGTGAGAGTCCCTTGGACTGGAAGGAGATCCAACCAGTCCATCCTAAAGCAGATCAGTCCTGAGTGGTCACTGGAAGGACTGATGCTGAAGCTGAAACTCCAGTACTTTGGCCACCTAATGCGAAGAGCTCACTCATTTAAAAAGATCCTGATGGTGGGAAAGATTGAGGGCAGGAGGAGAAGGGGACTACAGAGGATGAGATGGTTGGATGGCATCACCAACTCAATGGATATGGCTTTGGTTAGACTCTGGCAGTTGGTGATGGACAGGAAGGTCTGGCGTGCTGTGGTTCATGGGGTCGCAGAGTCGGACAAGACTGAGCAACTGAACTGAACTGGGAGAGAAAATGCCATCCTACTACTCTCCTTCAGGTCTCAAAGACTGCCTTTTCATTTAGAATTTCTCCCTTATTACAAGGGGGAGAAAAGGTAAAGAAGAAATGAGTGAAATGAACTGTGGAGCTGACTCAGAAAGAAACTGATATGTTCTAGATTTTTCCCTTATAGAATCTGACCATGTAAAAAAGTGAACAGAAGTGCCATTACCAAAAAAGGTGAAACATTTAAACTTAAGAACATGCAGCATCATCAAACTACATGAAAAATCTAAAGGTAGGACAACCTACTTCTATGCGTGCTCAGTCAATAAGTCATGTCCAACTCTTTGCGACCCTCATGGATTGTAGGCCGCCAGGCTCCTCTATCCATAGCATTCTCCAAGCAACAATACTGGAGTGGAGTGCCATGCCCTTCTCCAGCGGATCCTTCCGACCAAGGGATCGATCCCTGCGGCTCCTGCATTGCAGGTAGATTCTCTGCTGCTGAGCCACTGGGGAAACCCAATACTGCTTTTATCTACTTATAAAGGTAGAAGGCAATGGCACCCCACTCCAGTACTCTTGCCTGGAAAATCCCATAGGCGGAGGAGCCTGGTAGGCTGCAGTCCATGGGGTCGCTAAGAGTCGGACACAACTGAGCGATTTCCCTTTCACGCACTGGAAAAGGAAATGGCAACCCACTGCGGTGTTCTTGCCTGTTGAATCCCAGAGACAGAGGAGCTTGGTGGGCTTCTGTCTATGGGGTCGCAGAGTCGGACACGACTGACGCGACTTAGCAGCAGCAGCAGCAGCAGCAGCAGCAAAGTTAGATAAACTAAGTGCCAGTTCTCTTTGGAAACCGTGGATGGCTCTGAAAAGAGCCTTTTAAGTGTTGGAGCCTGACCAAGCAGCCAGTGGCTCACTTGGAGCTGGTGTACTTGGTGACAGCCTTGGTGCCCTCAGACACCGCATGTTTGGCCAGCTCCCCGGGCAGCAGCAGGCGCACGGCCGTCTGGATCTCCCTGGATGTGATGGTCGAGCGCTTGTTGTAATGCGCCAGGCGCGACGCCTCGCCCGCGATGCGCTCGAAGATGTCGTTCACGAATGAATTCATGATGCCCATGGCCTTGGACGAGATGCCGGTGTCCGGGTGGACCTGCTTCAGCACCTTGTACACGTACACGGAGTAGCTCTCCTTGCGGCTGCGCTTGCGCTTCTTGCCGTCCTTCTTCTGCGCCTTGGCCACCGCCTTCTTGGAGCCCTTCTTCGGGGCCGGTGCGGACTTGGCTGGCTCAGGCATGACTGAGGAATTACAAGATCGCAGAGAGAAATAGAGGGATCTCCCAGCGCGTCCATTTTATAATTCAATATGCAAATTAGATTTTGCAACGTTCTGTGCCTGATTGGCGAATACTCGTAGTGACATCACTTTCAATTTTGTCCAATGAAAACGCTCACTTAAAGGACCTACAATTTATTCTGCAACTTTAACTGCAACTTTACCCAATGGAATAGTTTCTTTTTCGCGCCCAACTGCAGCTATAAAATTTGCAGTTTTCTTTCACTTTAGCCTCTTCTGCTGAAGTCTTGAAGGGTTGTATTATGTCTGGACGTGGTAAGCAGGGCGGCAAAACTCGCGCCAAAGCCAAGACCCGCTCCTCGCGGGCCGGGCTCCAGTTCCCCGTGGGCCGAGTGCACCGGCTGCTCCGCAAAGGCAACTACGCCGAGCGGGTCGGGGCCGGGGCCCCAGTGTATCTGGCGGCGGTGCTGGAGTACCTGACGGCCGAGATCCTGGAGCTGGCGGGCAACGCGGCCCGGGACAACAAGAAGACCCGCATCATCCCGCGCCACCTGCAGCTGGCCATCCGCAACGACGAGGAGCTCAACAAGCTGCTGGGCAAAGTCACCATCGCTCAGGGCGGCGTCCTGCCCAACATCCAGGCGGTGCTGCTGCCCAAGAAGACCGAGAGCCATCACAAGGCCAAGGGCAAGTAAGGCATCAAGAGCCACGCCTTCCAAACCAAAGGCTCTTTTAAGAGCCACCTACTTTTTCTGCTGAGGAGCTGAGACTGTCGTCTTCATTTAACTGGTGTCTCTAGCAGTAGCTCTGTCAGTGCTGCTGGGCTCGCTTCAGTCGTGACCCCGTAGACGCCACTAGGCTTCCCCTGTCTCTGGGGTTCTCCAGGCAAGAACACTGTACTGGGGTTGCCATTTCTTTCTTAGGCACCGTCGTGTCCGACTGAGCAACCCCTTGGACTGCAGCCACCAGGCTCCTCGAACAGTGCTGGAGAAGGGCTATCAGTGCTAATTTGCTGCTAAAAAGAAAGCCCTATGGACTTTTACTGGGTCGAAGAAAATTGGGAAAAAAATATTTACGGGAAAGAATGCTTTCTTGGCTACAGACTAGATCACAGTGCACAGCTGTTTCCAGAGATCTCTGGGTGGCTCTGAAAAGAGCCTTTGGGGTTTGCTTCTCAAAGCGCCAACTTCCTACTTCTTCTTAGGAGCCGCCTTCTTCGCCTTTGCAGCTTTGGGTTTTGCTGCCTTAGGCTTGGAGGTTTTAGGTTTCGCTGCCTTTGGCTTCACTGCCTTGGGCTTCGCGGGGCTCTTAGCAGCCTTCTTTGGCTTTGCCGCAGTTTTGGCCTTCTTGGGGCTCTTGGCCACTTTGACGCCAGAGGCCGCGGGCTTTTTCGCCTTCTTAGGCGTCTTCTTAACGGCTTTCTTCGCTCCCGCAGCCTTCTTGGGCTTCTTAGGAGTTGCCCCTGCGGGTTTCTTGGCTTTAGCAGACCCCGCCTTCTTCGTCTTGGGCTTGGCTTCCCCGGCAGCCGCCTTCTTGTTGAGCTTGAAAGAGCCGGAAGCCCCGGTGCCCTTCGTCTGCACCAAGGTGCCCTTGCTCACCAGGCTCTTGAGACCCAGCTTGATGCGGCTATTGTTCTTCTCCACATCGTAGCCGCCGGCTGCCAGCGCCTTCTTGAGCGCAGCCAAAGAAAGGCCATTGCGCTCTTTGGAGGCAGCGACAGCCTTAGTGATCAGCTCGGAAACTGGGGGCCCGGTAGCCTTGCGCTTCGCCGCCCCGCCGCTGGCGGCCTTCTTGGTTGCTTTCTTCTTGGCAGGCGATTTTTCCACCGGCGCCGGGACGGCCGTCTCAGCAGGAGCGGTTTCCGACATGGCGAAAGGAGAACCTGCTAGAAGCAGAGAAACTCAAATTCCAAAGAGCAAGTTTTGCAATGCCGTCTTGCGCCGGCCCGGGCTTATATAAGTCGGTGCTGCCCTGTGATTGGTGGAGCGTCCGATCCACCACCCTCAGGCAGCCGCCTGCCGTGGTTGCACTCCCAAACTTGTGTTTGTTAGTCCCCAAAATTTGATTAAATGTTAAAAACAGTGGTACAGAATTTGACTCTTTGAAGCTTCAAAGGAGGAAAACAGCCTCCAAGTTCACTTACTTGTTTGTGTTTTTATGAATCACGCGCAGTTAATGAAAGATATTTTTAAAAATCCCTTCAGCTTTTCCTATAGATCCACCGGACCTAAGGCATCGAGCTACATAGTTGCATATTGCAATAAAGTTTTAGTAAGTATCAAGTGAATGTTTTTTAAAAGGCTTTGTCGCCAAGTTCGGCCTTCGATTTTTGCAAGAGGAAAGACACTAGATTCCTTGGTTTTGCTTAAACTTTGCTTCGAACTGTAGCAAGTAACACAGGTGCAGGTCGGCCAGTTGCCTACAGCCACAAATTAAGCATATAGATTTTACTTTAAAAACCGGTTTTGCCTTCCAAGGAGTTTCCAGGCGCCAATATCTTTAGAGAATGGGATTTCGCGGCTCGGAATAGTTCTGTGGTCAAAGTGACTTCTTCCATGAGGAATAGAAATTGCTTTGGCTTCAGAATCCAATGACCTATCCTCAAATTCAAACAGATTTAGTATGTTTTTGAATGAGATGCCTTTTCCCTTTAATTTATAAGCAAATCCATTAAAATAAGAAGAAAGAAATTTTTTTAACCCAGAGATGAATTTAAAAAAACCCCTGAAATCTGTTAAAAATTATTCAGGGGCTTCCAGCAACACTGGAAATGATGTTTAGATGGCATGGGTCTCTTTCCGTCTTTCAGAAGCTGTTTTCCTCCTTTAGAGCTTCAGCACTTTCACCGCTCTCCCTCAAACTCCAACTCCATCTCCACCAACATTTAACAAATTGAATGGTCAGGAACACCGTCTTTTGTAGGACCTCAGTGTTGATATTTCTGCATATTTAATGAAGATAGACTTGCATCTTTCAGTAAAATAATTGGCCTCTGACTTAAGTGTGGATTGGATAGTAAGGGAGTAAGTGGAGGTTATAGAATTTTAAGAGAATTCAGGAAAACGTTAACATCCAAGGGACCTGAGGCAGTGACTGGGAGGTGAAATGGAGGGTGATGTTTGTTATTTATTGAGAGGGGGATGCTTGGAGAGGATTTTGTCCATGGATGCAATGATGATTAGGGTCTCTTATGCATTCCACAGTCAGTTCTTTCTTATGAAAACCTGTAGGCTGACACACTTCATGTCTTCAGGGGTTCCTGGAGTTGAAACTATAGCCTACTGTGGCCAAATCTAGACAGTGGCTTAGTTTTGTATGGCCAAGGTAAGAGTTTTTCTATTTTTAAGAATATTTTTAAGATGTGTCAGAGACTATATGTTACCTGCAAAACCTAAAATATTTACTTTATGGCTTTCACGGTCTTGAATTCCTCCTCAGATAGTTCATGTTATTCCTACAGGTCTGCCTTTTTCAGAATTATGCAAACCCAGATCTAAAGAAAAGGAGGTCTTAAGAAAATGTTCTGATCAAGCATTTCCCATTGTTTCAATCAGAAAACTTTCAGAAAACTTGGGAAGGTTGGGGGGCTGGAGTGTCTGCTTTACAGAAGAGGGGCATAGTGGAGCTAACATTCACTGAGCATTTAGTGCCAGGAACTAGTCTTACTATGGTCTAGGAACTAATTCATTTGCCACCTTTTATAACTGTTCTAGGCGATTCCCAAAGAGAAGCTGAGTAATTGGGCAATTGGCTGCTGTGAAGCTCGCACGTCGACCACTATTTCTTCCTGCAACAGCGAGACAGGAGAGACATTATCTGGAGTCAAGTTGTATGATACTGCTTGGCAAAAGGTGGGGGGAAGGCGCTGCATTTGTCATTATAGAACGATCTGTAGAAAGCACCAGTTAACAAGGAATGGGCCACTTCAGTCACTTCCTTTAGCCAAGGATTAAATAATATCACTTTAAAAAATACTTCCCCTAGAAATAGTTCAATAAACTGATTAGGAGCCCAGGATACAGCCATTTCTGCATAGTATTGACGTGGCACAGTATTGTGTCCACCATACGTTTCACTTAAAATTCACGGCGTTTTTCATTTGTTGGTAACATGTATACTCGACAATGAACAGCTCTTTTTGCTGACAGTTGAGGGGCTCTTAAAAGAGCCTTTGGGGGTAGGTATGTGTTAGTTGGAGGAGCCATAAAACTTATGCTCTCTCCCCGCGGATGCGGCGGGCAAGTTGGATGTCCTTGGGCATGATAGTGACGCGCTTGGCGTGGATGGCACACAGGTTAGTGTCCTCGAAGAGCCCCACCAGGTAGGCCTCGCACGCCTCCTGCAGCGCCATCACGGCCGAGCTCTGGAAGCGCAGGTCGGTCTTGAAGTCCTGCGCGATCTCGCGCACCAGCCGCTGGAACGGCAGCTTGCGGATCAGCAGCTCCGTAGACTTCTGATAACGGCGGATCTCGCGCAGAGCCACCGTGCCGGGCCGGTAGCGGTGCGGCTTCTTCACGCCGCCGGTGGCCGGCGCGCTCTTGCGGGCCGCCTTAGTGGCGAGCTGCTTGCGCGGCGCCTTGCCGCCGGTGGACTTGCGAGCCGTCTGCTTAGTCCGCGCCATTGGTAAGTAGTGTCAACTACCTAACACTAATGGGAGCACTTGGTCGTCCCAAAATATATAGCGAACCCCGCGTTTTGATTGGACAATAGACTGCTGCCTCCCCGCCCTTCCACGCCCATTCTTTTTGGGTTTAGGACGTATTGTCCCGCCTCTACTTCGGACCCTAGGATTATGTGGTGAGGGAGGAAATATCTTGTTGGCTTTCAAAAAAAAAAAAAAAGGCTGCAGGATGTATCCAAATTCCTAAACTTATCTTCTAGAGCAGGGGTCCCCAACCCCCGGCATCTAATTGGTGATCTGAGGTGGAACTGATGAAATAAAAGGATAAAGTGTGCTAGTCTCTCAGGAGTGTCCGGATCTGTGGTCCCATGGACTAGGCTACCAACCTCCTCTGTCCATGGGATTTTCCAGGCAAGAATACTCAAGTGGTTTGCCGTTTCCTCCTCCAGAGAAATAAAGTGCACAGTAAATATTCGTCGCTCTTCGGTTACTCAGCCGTATCCTACTTTTTGCGACCCCATGGGCTACAGCATGCCAGGCTTCGCTGTTCTTCACTGTCCTTTGGAGTTTGCTCAAACTCATGTCCGTTGTCAGTGATACCATCCAAACATCTCATCTTCCGTCGCTCCCTTCACCTCCTGCCTTCAATCTTTCTCAGCATCAGGATCTTTTCCAATGAGTGGGCTCTTCGCATCACGCGGCCAAATTATTGGAGTTTCTAAAGGAGCTTAAATCATCCCGAAACCATCCCCCCACCCAAGCGCGTGGAACTGTTCCACCAAACCGGTCGCTGCCGCCGAAAAGGTTGGGAACAGCTGGCCTAGAGAATCTCCAAGCATCTTGTGTTTTAGATATGGGATGTTATGATTGACAAGTTTGAATAACATGAAAGGAGTGTTAGGTGGAGGCAATGAAGTTAGTTTAAATCAACCCAGTCACCACGTTCTGTCCCAGAGCTCTGAAAGATTAAGAATCTAATAGCTTAGTAAAGCGAGGATTGGTTACCTTTTCCCTTAAAACGACTTAATATTTTAGTTATTGCTAGCGTTACTGCTTGTGATGCTACTTTATCCTTGAAGTGCGAGCAGTCAACACAATGTTATTGTGCCTGGCTTACAGGAACACAGGAAACCATGTCAAACTAAAATCTGCCACTGCTGGTAAAATACTAGAGAATTGAAAGTTGTGACCACTTAAATTATAATAAGTTAATGCTCCCCACACAACCCAACGACTTTAGCGCCTACAGCTCATTTATTCGAGTTAGTGGGTGGCCCTAAAAAGGGCCTTTAAGAAAATGAACAGGTGAGTACAACTTTAACCGCCGAAGCCGTAAAGGGTACGTCCCTGGCGCTTAAGCGCGTAGACCACATCCATGGCGGTGACAGTTTTGCGCTTGGCGTGCTCCGTGTAGGTGACAGCGTCCCGGATCACATTTTCCAGAAACACCTTCAGCACCCCCCGGGTCTCTTCATAGATGAGACCGGAAATACGCTTTACGCCACCACGACGAGCCAGACGACGAATAGCGGGTTTGGTAATACCCTGAATATTGTCGCGCAGAACCTTGCGGTGGCGCTTAGCACCCCCTTTCCCGAGGCCCTTACCACCTTTACCACGACCAGACATATCTGCAAGCCGAGTTTCTATAGACTGTTACCGTGCCAAGGCGGTGTTTTATATAGTGATTTTTCGGACCTGATTGGGAACCACTCAGGCTAGCCGTGACGCCCCTGGGCGTGTCCAGACCCGAAGCCCCGCCCACATTTTTCAGCAAAATGGAAAGAGAGGTGCTTAAAATACAGTCCAAAAAAGGGCCTGATAAAATTTCCTCCGTTCAGCTTCTACAAAGCATTGTGTTGCCCTTGTCCACAACTGGAAAACCATTCCTTTGTTTGGGGTAGGCCTTGCTGTCCCTTTCTCTTTTTTTGCTCTCTTAGGCAGTCATGGTCCGAGCGAGTTGTGGCTTCCGGAATGAATGGATCATCTGGAGAGCCGTGAACTGTAGTCTTTTGGGGGTTTTTTTGAAACCTCGTGGCTCAGCAATCAGAGCAGAAAAAGAAGTAAAAGGAATCCAGATAGGAAAAGAAGAAGTGAAACTCTCGCTGTTTGCAGATGACATGATCCTCTACATAGAAAATCCTAAAGACTCTACCAGAAAATTACTAGAGATAATCAACGAATACAGTAAAGTTGCAGGATATAAAATTAACACACAGAAATCTCTTGCATTCCTATACACTAACAATGAGAAAACAGAAAGAGAAATTAAGGAAACAATACCATTCACCATTGCAACAAAAAGAATAAAATACTTAGGAGTATATCTACCTAAAGAAACAAAAGACCTATACATAGAAAACTATAAAACACTGATGAAAGAAATCAAAGAGGACACAAACAGATGGAGAAATATACCGTGTTCATGGATTGGAAGAATCAATATTGTCAAAATGGCTATACTACCCAAAGCGATCTACAGATTCAATGCAATCCCTATCAAACTACCAACGATATTTTTCACAGAACTAGAACGAATAATTTCACAATTTGTATGGAAATACAAAAAACCTCGAATAGCCAAAGTAATCCTGAGAAAGAAGAATGGAACTGGAGGAATCAATCTGCCTGACTTCAGACTATACTACAAAGCCACAGTCATCAAGACAGTATGGTACTGGCACAAAGACAGAAATATAGATCAATGAAACAGAATAGAAAGCCCAGAGATAAATCCACGAACCTATGGTCACCTTATCTTTGACAAAGGAGGCAAGGATATACAATGGAAAAAAGACAACCTCTTTAACAAGTGGTGCTGGGAAAACTGGTCAACCACCTGTAAAAGAATGAAACTAGAACACTTTCTAACACCATACACAAAAATAAACTCAAGATGGATTAAAGATCTAAATGTAAGACCAGAAACTATAAAACTCCTAGAGGAGAACATAGGCAAAACACTCTCCGACATAAATCACAGCAGGATCCTCTATGACCCACATCCCAGAATTTTAGAAATAAAAGCAAAAATAAACAAATGGGACCTAAGGAAACTTAAAAGCTTTTGCACAACAAAGGAAACTATAAGCAAGGTGAAAAGACAGCCCTCAGATTGGGAGAAAATAATAGCAAACGAAGCAACAGACAAAGGATTAATCTCAAAAATATACAAGCAACTCCTCCAGCTCAACTCCAGAAAAATAAATGACCCAATCAAAAAATGGGCCAAAGAACTGAACAGACATTTCTCCAAGGAAGACATACAGATGGCAAAAAGCACATGAAAAGATGCTCAACATCACTCATTATCAGAGAAATGCAAATCAAAACCACAATGAGGTACCATTACACACCAGTCAGGATGGCTGCTATCCAAAAGTCTACAAGCAATAAATGCTGGAGAGGGTGTGGAGAAAAGGGAACCCTCTTACACTGTTGGTGGGAATGCAAATTAGTACAGCCACTATGGAAAACAGTGTGGAGATTTCTTAAAAAGCTGGAAATAGAACTGCCATATGACCCAGCAATCCCACTTCTGGGCATACACACCGAGGAAACCAGATCTGAAAGAGACACGTGTACCCCAATGTTCATCACAGCACTGTTTATAATAGCCAGGACATGGAAGCAACCTAGATGCCCATCAGCAGACGAATGGATGAGGAAGCTGTGGTACATATACACCATGGAATATTACTCAGCTGTTAAAAAGAATTCATTTGAATCAGTTCTAATGAGATGGATGAAACTGGAGCCCATTATACAGAGCGAAGTAAGCCAGAAAGATAAAGACCATTACAGTATACTAACACATATATATGGAATTTAGAAAGATGGTAACGATAACCCTATGTGCAAAACAGAAAAAGAGACTCCTATGTATAGAACAGACTTGTGGACTCTGGGAGAAGGCGAGGGTGGGATGTTTCAAGAGAACAGCATCGAAACACGTATATTATCTAGGGTGAAACAGTTCACCAGCCCAGGTTGGGTGCATGAGACAAGTGCTCGGGCCTGGTGCACTGGGAAGACCCAGAGGGATTGGGTGGAGAGGGAGGTGGGAGGGGGGACCGGGATGGGGAATACATGTTAAAAAAAAAAAAAAAAAAAGATACACTATGGTTGTGAAAAAATAAATAAATAAATAAAATGTAAAAAAAAAAAAAGAAAAGAAAAAAGCAAAAAAAAAACAAAAAAACAAAAACAAACAAACAAACAAAAAAAGAAACCTCGTGGCTTGAGTGTCTGACTATAAATAGCTTCAGGGTGGGCTTCCTCATCGTTCTCAGTGGTGGTCTCCCCTTTTCCTTACCTTTTACTCATCCTATCATCTTCCTTTCTCTTCCCTCGCTGCCACACTTTTGCTGGCTCTTTCAAATTTTCTTCGTTTCACTTAGAAACAATTCAGGAAATTGAGGAAGCTCAGCTTTTACCCGCCATTTCCTCTGGTGAGTCCATGAACAAGTGAAAATGCCTCTCGGGGACTCCTTTCTTGCCCCTACTCCACCCCCTCCCCCGCCCCGCCATCACCACCTTCCTCTTTATCTCCTTTGTTGAACTGAGAAATCAAGTGCACCCCAAAGTTCTGTGCTTTTAATAGTGTCTTTAATAAAGTGCTGAGTGTAAAGACCAGGAACGATTTTATCCCAGGAATTTAAAAAATAAAAAACTTTCAAAGGCTGAATGATAAGTGGTTTCCTTGACTCCTGGCTATGTGAAATGACCTTTCAGGCCCTGACTTGTCTGCCAGGTAGCAGATTTCATTTCTCTGAGAAAATGCCTTCTCTAACGAATAACACATTTACTTTTTCTCTTTTTCCGACCTTCAGTAATGTTTACCCTTTCTATTTCAAATGTGTGTGGTTGATTATTTACTCCTTGAACAAATACCTAATATTCTCCAAGTACTGTATATATACTATATGTGCAAAAGACTGCATGCCCATCTTCTATTAGTTAATCCATTCCTTACCGAGCTACTTCTCTGGCTTTCTTCTTCTTCTTCCTGCTCCTATTTAGTAATGAAATCTGAGTGCTTAACCTTGAAGATGTTATTGGGTGGGTAATCTCAACAATCCTCTTCCCTTGCAACTATAGAAAAACCAGGTAGCTTCCTGCCTCATTACCAGCAGTTGTTGAAGAGGGTGTTTGCTATGACCAGTGTGTTCTCTGGGCAAAATTCTGTTAGCCTCTTACCTGCTTTTTTTGTACTCCAAGGCCAAATTTGCCTGTTACTCCAGGTATCTCTTGACTTCCTACTTTCACATTCCAGTCCCCTATAATGAAAAGGACATCTTTTTGGGGTGTTAGTTCTAGAAGGACTTGTAGGTCTTCGTAGAACCATTCAACTTCAGCTTCTTCAGCATTACTGGTCGGGGCATAGACTTGGATTACTGTGATATTGAATGGTTTTCCTTGGACATGAAGAAATCATCCTGTCATTTTTCAGACTGCATCCAAATACTGCATTGCAGACTCTTGTCAACTATGATGGTTACTCCATTTCTTCAAAGGGATTCTTGCCCACAGGAGTAGACATAATGGTCATCTGAGTTAAATTCACCCATTTGAGTCCATTTTAGTTCACTGATTCCTAAAATGGCTACGTTCACTTTTGCCATCTCCTGTTGACCACTTCCAATTTGCCTCGATTCATGGACTTAACATTCCAGATTCCTATGCAATGTTGCTCTTTACAACATCCAACTTTACTTCCATCACCAGTCACATCCGCAACCAGGTGTTGTTTTTGCATTGGCTCCGTCTCTTCATTCTTTCTGGAATTATTTCTCCACTGATCTTCAGTAGCATATTGGGCACCTACTGACCTGGGGAGTTCACCTTTCAGTGTCCTATCTTTTTGCCTTTTCATACTGTTCATGGGGTTCTCAAGGCAAGAATACTGAAGTAGCTTGCTATTCCCTTCTCCAGTGGACCACGTTTTGTCAGAACTCTTCACTATGACTCATCCATCTTGGGTGGCCCTATATGGCATGGGTCATAGTTTCATTGAGTTAGACCAGGCTGTGGTCCATGTGATCAGATTGGTTAGTTTTCTGTGATTGTGGTTTTTCCCTTCTGTCTGCCCTCTGATAGATAAGGATAAGAGGCTTAAGGAAGCTTCCTGATGGGAAAGACTGACTGAGGGGGAAACTGGATTTTGTTCTGATGGGCAGGGCCATGCTCAGTAAATCTTTAATCCAATTTTCTGTTGATGGCAGGGCTGTGTTCCCTCCCTGTTGTTTGACCTGAGGACATGTTGCTCAAGGACATGTTTCTCCTTCTTAACAAGAACCTTCTGACTAGTCTTACTGATTTAAGATGTATGTTGTGGGAGTGGGTCTGATAAAAGTATATAAGGCCTTGAAAGCAAGTGGGGCACTCTCTGCCTGCTTCTGATGGCTATGTCAGAAGCGTTCTCTGTCCTTTTTCACTGTAATAAAACTTCTGCCACACAAAAGCTCTGAGTGATCAAGCCTGGTCCCTGGTCCTGAAGCTAATTCTTCGGAGATCACAAATCCAAGACTGTTCACCATAAGCTCTCATTATTGTTCTTGCATTGTTCTTCATTCAAAGTTAGTTTATTTACTAGTAATTAGTGCCTTTCCTAATTCTCATTTCTCCTGTCCTCCAGACACATATATATTTACACATAAACACACAAAGACACATGCTGACATACACTAATCCAAAACTAGCCCTTTAGAGTGTTTTCCACTCCATGAGCTTAACTTCTCAAATCTTTTCTTCCATTCCATACAGTCTTACTTCTCAACACAGTTGGCCTTTTACCAAGTCAGAATCTTAAATATGAGACAGGCAAGCACAAAATTTTCCTTCTTCCTTGGTCCTACCCCAGAGCAATAACCATCCTTGCTTTCATTCTCAAAGGTTCCTCAAGCATCTATGCCTCCATGTACTATTTCAGTTAAAGAAATTTGAGGATGTAGACTCTACTGGCTCCTTCACCTTATTACACCTTCTATTATTTATTTTTTGCCCTGCATTTTTTGGGATCTTATTTGCCTCAGCAGGGATCAAACCTGAGCCACAGCAGTGAAAGCACCAAATCCTAACCACAGAGCTACGAGTGAAGTCCCCACTCTGCCCTGCTCTAGTCTGCTCATGACTTGAAGCCAGAAATGCAAAACCCTTTAAGAAACCCCTTACTTTCTCCCAAGGCTCTCTCAAGTCCTAAATGTATTCTCTAATATACACAGCTGTTCACGCCTAACCCTCTCTCCTTGTTTTGCCTTACCTTGTTTCCAAAATTCTGTAATACAATGTGACCAATGATGGTCTTCATAGTCCCTTCTGTCTCCTGATTTAGTCACTTTTCATGCCTAAATATATCAGATAATAACTGCCAGACACTCTGATTCCCTTTCATTCACTTCACCTTACTAGCATCTCCAGGGTTCGATGGATATTGAGAAAATAAAAATCAAGAGATAGACTGGGGTCCCTGGAGCAGGAGTCCCCTGCTGTCTCACCCCCGTGGGTTTACAATAGGGTCAGAGGCTACGAACACAGTTCCTAAGCTTCTAATCTTTAAAAGCAGACTGGTTTCTATAGACTGAGTGTTTCTGTTTCCCCAAAATTCATATGCTGAAATCTAATCTCTAATGTGAGGGTATTTGGAGGGTAGGGTTTTGGGAAGGGGCTTAGGTTTTAACTACCTGGCCCTCATCAGTGGTATTCATGCCTCTATAAAAGAGACCCCATTTTCTCCACGCATGGAGAAAATAGCCATCTATGAGTTAGGAAGAGGGCTGTTACCAGACACTAAATCTGATAGCACCTTTATCTTGGACTTCCCAGCCTCCAGAGCTGTGAGAAATACATTTCTATTATTTATAAGCCACCTAGTCTGTAGTATTCTGATACAGTAGCCTGAGCAGGCCAAGACACTCATTTTCTGCAAGTCGTGTTTTTAAAACGTACTCAGAGTTGGTGCCTTTGATTTTAGTGGTTATTCTAATTTCTTTCTTTTTAAGAATTTTTGGACATTCCCTAAAACCACCTTTTCTACAACCAACCTTAGGCTTCTAATAGAGCATGTCCTCACTGAGCCATAGTACACTTCTTAACTTCAGATCTCAATCGGCATCCAAATCCCAGATGTCCTTACTGAGGAATTGCAAAATGTTAAACCAGCCTAACTTCTGCCTTTCCACTTATAGGAAAACAGGCTTTTCTACCTAGTTCTTTTTTTTTTCCTTAAACAACTACTCTTACTTTATTTTCCTACAGATGTGGGAGGCTTATACAGATCTCCTCATTTCCTTTGAGGGTTTGTTCAAAGAATCCCAAACTGAGATCTATTGGCTTTGTCTTCCCAGCACTTGGCTACCTTCAGAAAAGATTGACTTTTCTAGAGCTAGTGAAGGATTAATATGTATATTTTTTAAATCTGGGGAACTATCACCAAGTTCACAAATGAAAACACATGTGAAAATACTTTGGAAACTATCAAGTTTTATATAATTCCTGTCATCAGTATTATACCTATTCCCCATAGAATTCAAGAAGTATCTTGGATGAAATGCACAATGCAGGAGGTGGGAAGCACTAAGTAATTACCTGAGGCTATCTTGTGTCTACAGTGTTGCAAATCAGAACTACATTCACTCAAATAGAATTTGATGAGCATCTGCTTGTGTCAGGCTTTTTCTATTCCGGAGAACCATCAGTGAACAGCGGTGAAAATTTTTTTGGCCTTTTGTATATGGTGAGAGAAAAGGGGCAAAATTTTACATTTAAAACAGTTTCACACAGAGTAGGAGAAATATCGTATGACATCCCTTATATGCAGAATCTAAAAAAGAAATGATAAAAGTGAACTTATTTACGAAACAGACTCACAGACATAGAGAATGAAGCAGGGGGAAAGGATAGAAAGGGAGTTTGGAATCGACATGTACACACTGCTATATTTAAGATATTAACAGATAACCAACAAGGACCTACCTACTTTATAGTACAGGAAATTCTGCTCAATATTTTGTGGCAGCTTGGATGAGAGGGGGTTTGGGGGGAGAATGGATATGTGAATATGAATGGTTAGCCCCTTTGCTATCTACCTGAAACTATCACATTTGGCTATATAATCAGCTATACTTCAATATAAAATAAAAAGTTATAAAAATAGGTTCACACAGACTTAGGAGAATACTCTCCTGGTCCTAGAATTTCATAGGTGTGAGTGTGATGTCAGGTATGGGATAAGCCCACAAGTGGTCTGGAGGGCATTACTACCTCGAACAGGCTCACTGTGGCTTCTACCTCTAGAAAGTCACCAAATGTTGATGGCATGCATGATGCCTGTCATGAGTAGTCATTGGAAGGACTGATGTTGAAGCTGAAGCTCCAAAACTTTGGCCACCTGATGCTCTTGCCAACTCATTAGAAAAGACCCCAATGCTGGGAAAGACTGAAGGCAGGAGAAGGGGGGACGACAGAGAACGAAATGGTTGGATGGCATCACCGACTCAATGGAGGTAAGTTTGAGCAAGCTCGGGGACATGAAGGACACGGAAGCCCGTTGTGCTGCAGTCCATGGGGTAGTAGAGTCGGACAAGACTCAACACTACGCCTGTGGATTGCTCCTCGTGCTTGTCTGTTAGGAGGTTCCTGAAAGATGGCAAATAAAAGCCAGAGGACTATATTTGTTAATTTCCCAACATCAAATCTTGGAATGGGGGTGAATAAACAGCTTAGAACTTGATCCTGCAGGGTTACCAGGTGCTACCGCTAAACAGTGAGAAATGCAGTTCTCAAAAGGGCTTGGTTTGTTGAACACCCTGTAGCTAGCTTCAACTGAAATCATCATTTTCTGGAGTTGTATAAAACAAATTGACTATCAGTTACGTTAAGAGGTCTGCCCACTATTGCTAGATCCTGGGCCACATTGCCTGACCTAACCTAGAGATACTCTGCCCCTCCTTGAACCCTGGACAGTTTAATCAGTAATTGATTAGAACTTACAAGATACTTGTCCCTCCAAGCACAGTACATACGTAGGACAGTCAACCAGAGCTCTGCATCCTGAGGCTACTGGGGGAGGTAGTTGTTCTCGGCTCTGATACTCAGGTTGGCAGTTTTGCTGACAGACTTCTTGTGAGATCTTTACACTGGAGAATTCAGACAGAGCCCAGGTGGTCTTACGGGTGGGGACACTCTTGCTCTTATTAACAGTAAGTTTTAAAAAATGCCTTTCACAAAATTACCACGGCGTGATCAGCCTTGGCAAGTACGTTTCATACCTGTATTGTGATTATGTAGACCCTGGATAAAATTTCTCTGCTTTAGGAAAAGCTATCCTTGTGCAACAGCTGTTCTCAGTGAAGACGGAAGTGGCTCTTAAAAGAGCCTTTGGGAGGAAGCTAATGCCCACAAACCTGTTAAGGACAGTTTATGCCCTCTCCCCGCGGATGCGGCGAGCAAGTTGGATGTCCTTGGGCATGATAGTGACGCGCTTGGCGTGGATGGCACACAGGTTAGTGTCCTCGAAAAGCCCCACCAGGTAGGCCTCGCACGCCTCCTGCAGCGCCATCACGGCCGAGCTCTGAAAGCGCAGGTCGGTCTTGAAGTCCTGCGCGATCTCGCGCACCAGCCGCTGGAACGGCAGCTTGCGGATCAGCAGCTCCGTAGACTTCTGATAACGACGGATCTCGCGCAGAGCTACCGTGCCGGGCCGGTAGCGGTGCGGCTTCTTCACGCCGCCGGTGGCCGGCGCGCTCTTGCGGGCCGCCTTGGTGGCGAGCTGTTTGCGCGGCGCCTTGCCGCCGGTGGACTTGCGAGCCGTCTGCTTTGTGCGAGCCATAACGTCGAGAGCAGTGTCGCGGAAGAAGCAACTGAACGACCGCTTCCAGGACGAGACTTTATACAGATGATCCGATCCTGATTGGCCAGACTTTTCTGGAGTAATCTGATTGGTTAAAAACCGATGTTCATTTGGATCTTGCTGCTGCTAAGCTGCTAAATCACCTCAGTCGTGTCCGACTCTGTGCGACCCAATAGACAGCTACCCACCAGGCTCCCCCGTCCCTGGGATTCTCCAGGCAAGAATACTGGTGTGGGTTGCCATTTCCTTCTCCATTGCATGAAAGTGAAAAATGAAAGTGAAGTCACTCAGTCGTCTCCGACTCTTCGCGACGCCATGGACTGCGGAGCTCACCAGGCTCTTCCGTCCGTGGGATTTTCCAGGCAAGAGTACTGGAGTGGGGTGCCATTGCCTGAAAAGGTTTTGTTTTCTGTCCTCTTACCTTGTGTTTTGTATTTTCGCAGGGAAGAATTATGACTGCACTGTATCTTGTCTGAGTTTTTGGTTTCGACTGAAATATTGATTTCACTAGTAAAAAAGGAATTTGGTCCAGAATTTTTGGAAGTCAGGAACTAAGTTGTTCTAAAAGAAATGCATTTTCATTGGGCTCTTTTTCTCTTTTCAGATAATATGGGGGGAAATTACAGCAAAGTATTTGCTAGTCTCTAAAAAACTAGTTGACTTCATAACTGAATCAAGATCTACATTTCATGTTTGTATCAAGACCTAAAATAAAGTTTCAATAGACTGGCACACTGGTCCGGTGAAGACACTTTTGCCCAGCGTGGTGTAGGGAAGAGGGCGGGGGCCCTGCTGTGTGCTTGAATACTAGTAAGTGGCTATCTAACTTGATTAATTGATTTTGATGCAAATAATTGGACTTCAATATGTAAACTGTGTACTGACCAGAAGTCCTGGAACGACACCAAGTTTACACTGATCAAGTAATTAGGTGGTTGTTTGTTTTTTTTTTTGTAAAGAGGTAACCCTGAAAAAAAATGAGAAGTTTTAACTATTGGACCATTGGGTTCTAATGATAAAGACCCAGAAACAAAATTGGTTTAATGCTGGAATAGTCGTCAGAAATGTGTCCCTGGGAAGAGGATAAAGGCTGGCAATGTCATGGTTTTACAGTGGAGTAAACCGAGAATTGGTCTTTACCAAATGTTGATGCGTGTTCAGTCAATATGGGGACTACACATTCCAGGCATGACAGGTTTCAAGAGTGCTCAGTTCTTCCACAGAAGTTATGGGTGGCTCTGAAAAGAGCCTTTGTTCTTAGAAGTTGGAATATGAATTCAGACCTTATTTGCCTTTCGCTTTGTGGTGGCTCTCAGTCTTCTTGGGCAGCAGCACCGCCTGGATGTTGGGCAGGACGCCGCCCTGAGCGATGGTGACTTTGCCCAGCAGCTTGTTGAGCTCCTCGTCGTTGCGGATGGCCAGCTGCAGGTGGCGCGGGATGATGCGGGTCTTCTTGTTGTCCCGGGCCGCGTTGCCCGCCAGCTCTAGGATCTCGGCCGTCAGGTACTCCAGCACCGCCGCCAGGTACACCGGGGCCCCAGCCCCGACCCGCTCAGCGTAGTTCCCCTTACGGAGAAGACGGTGCACTCGACCCACGGGGAACTGGAGACCGGCCCGCGAAGAGCGCGTCTTCGCCTTGGCGCGAGCTTTGCCGCCTTGCTTGCCACGTCCAGACATAATGCAGTATTCAGAAGCTACACCAGAAATGACTAGAGCGAAGGAACTCACAATTTATAGCCACAGAGAGCGCGAAAAAGCAGCCATCCCATTGGCCAAAGTTGTCTTCCCATTTTAAACAAGACAAACGCAATTTCTTATAACGCGTGCTCTTATTGGACAATGTTGTCGTGACGTCATCATTAGTATTCACCAATCAGACAGATAAATTTACTAAGACTTATTTGCATATGGACTTGTGACTATAAAAGGGACTCCATCCTCTGTTTCTCAGAGATTTTGTAGTTCCTGTCAGCATGCCTGAACCAGCCAAGTCCGCTCCTGCCCCGAAGAAGGGCTCCAAGAAGGCGGTGACCAAGGCGCAGAAGAAGGACGGCAAGAAGCGCAAGCGCAGCCGCAAGGAGAGCTACTCCGTATACGTGTACAAGGTGTTGAAGCAGGTCCACCCGGACACCGGCATCTCGTCCAAGGCCATGGGCATCATGAACTCCTTCGTGAACGACATCTTCGAGCGCATCGCGGGCGAGGCGTCGCGCCTGGCACATTATAACAAGCGCTCGACCATCACATCCAGGGAGATCCAGACGGCCGTGCGCCTGCTGCTGCCCGGGGAGCTGGCCAAACACGCGGTGTCCGAGGGCACCAAGGCCGTCACCAAGTACACCAGCTCCAAGTGAGCCGGCTCGCAACCCTACATAACCCAAAGGCTCTTTTCAGAGCCACCTACACTTTCAGAGAAATAGCTGGTGCACTTGATTGTGGTCTGGTTTCACTCAGGTTACGCAGCTGGTTTGATGACGGAAAACGCCGTAAAAGTTTTTACAGCTCTCAACAAGCAGTCTTGGATAAGCATTTAGGCAATGTATTTTTGCCTGGAAAATTCCATGGACAGAGGAGCCTGGCAGGCTATGGGGCCTCAGTCGATCATGGCTCTGCAATTGAGCGCAAAACTTGCCATGCAAATTTAGTATGGGTTATTTGGTGGCTCAGACGGTAAAGCGTCTGTCTGCAATGCTGTAGACCCGGGTTCGATCCCTGGGTCGGGAAGATCCCCTGGCGAGGGAAATAACAACCCACTCCAGTACTCTTGCCTGGAAAATCCCATGGACAGAGGAGCCTGGTAGGCTACAGTCCATGGGGTCGCAGAGTCGGACTGATTGAGCGACTTTACTTATTTGGCGCCCACTGAAAAGGATTTACAGTTTTGCCCTCAGCTACAGCAACCAAAAATTTTTTTCAAAGCGAGTAACGCCCCCCATATCTGATTGGGCAGCAGTAGTATTTGAAAAGCCCGCCGTGTGTTGCAATTGGCCTGATACTCTGCCAACAGTTTTGCGCGTTTTGTAGAGATTTTCTCGAAAGTAAATTACTAGCTTTGTCTTGGGGAATGCACAAGGCTCGGGAGCCTAGAGCCATAAAACTGAAAATTAACGGTTCTGTGTTCTGCAGTCGGATCCTGGGCGAAATTGCCTCTTTGTTTCTATTTCCTATCCTCTACAGAATAGGTACGGCAACATTAGCCCTGTCTACGAAGATCTTAGGGTGAGTTTAAATGATTTAAGTTATAGTGCTATGGGAATATTAAAGGTCCGGGAGGGTACTTAAAGAGAAAATGTTGAACAAGAAACCCAGCAGCTTGGGAAAGCCTCGTTCTTACAATGTTTAATCAGGATGCAACGGAAGGGAGACATCCAGGACTCATTTGGCCGGGGGAGCAGTTTTCTGGTAGTGTCTTGAGTCCACAATTAAAAATCCCGCGAAAGAAGTCAGAGAACTCAGTATTAAAGAGAAGGGCATATTTATTTAACGCATGGGCTAATTAGGATTATTACGGAATGGAATTTCTCAAGGCATGATCGCAAGTCCTTCAATTCCCCATTCCTCTGCATCTTTCAGTGGTGCCTAAATTCTTTTCAGTTGGAATCATTAACATCTTCCGCTACCCTGGCATCCCCTTTCACCAACAAATGATTGCTTTTGTAGTTCTTTTTTTTTCCCCTCCCCATTAACAGCAAAATAAGCCCCTACACCCATATCTCCAATTAAGACTGCAACATTTCGTGTTTTTCCCTTTGTTGCTTCCCTTAAAGTTGGGGATATGGACCTATCTCAGATGCACAGTTTTGTCCCTGTCACAGGCAACAAGTCTTCTGCAAGTCATGCCAACGTGTCAATGAGTCCTGCAAAATATACGAGTTTGTCATTCGCCCCTCTCTTTGCAGTACCTGCGCCCCTGTCCCTAGGTCTTGGAAACTGGCAAGAGCAGTCCCCTGATTTCATCCTGAACCCATCGACTTCCTATTCATCGCCTCTATTATTTGCTCTTTCTGAGATTTTTTTCCTTCCACTGTTAAGGGATCTGAGGGAGAATTACCTTCGGTGGGTGATATAAGTATTGCCCTCTTCTGCCATCTTGTGGCAAGAAAATAGAAAGACAGATTAAAGGCCTTGGGTTTTCCAGATCCAGTTGAAATGCTTCGACTTTTTACTGACAGTAAGTTGGAATAAGTAAAGTGATCATTTCTGTCTCCGTTTAATCACTGGATTTAAGTTAGCTTCCCCAGAAGTCACTTGTGGGCATGAGAGAGAGGGAGAGAGGTATTGTTTTGTGGCCTGGTCAGAGCTGTCCAAATAAAGTCAAAAATCAAATATTCTGTACCCTAAAATAAATAAAACAAGAGGGTCATGGACACACTAGTTATGGTCCTCAAACGGTAAATATTTGAATATTTTCTGTAAATCTAAACACCTGACAAAATCCTGATTTTTGCTGGGAGGGAGCATGAATTTTCCACTTTGAGAAGATGCTCAATCTATGATTACAATATCCAAGAACAGTCTTAAAATTTATTCTTAAATAGAACCCAGAAGAAAACAGTGAATTGTTTCATCTTTCTTGACAAATGTTTTCCTTTAGATTAATCACATGTGCCTCTGGTGATCTGTGAGATTAGAAAACTTGCTACTGAGGATAGTATTTTAAGAACCATCTCAGATGGAGATTGTATTTGCCATGGGCATCAGTGTAAGCAGATTGAAAATGAAATGAGATCTCACCTGGCACCTGAAATGAATATAGTGATTCTATACAGTTATAGGACTTTAATGTGGAAAAAAATACAGTTGATAAAAGGGCTTTAATGACAGGATTTCTAAAGCATCTGTTGCCAAGTTGACAAAGAAGTTGCCTTTACATTTTATTATTAGTTAATTAATCTAGTTGTCTGTACCAGATCTTAGCTGAGGCCCCCAGGATCTTCAATCTTTGTTGCAACATGTGGGATCTAGCCCCCTGATCAGGGATGGAAGCCTGGCGCTGTGTTGGGAGCAAGTTGTCTTAGCCACTGGACCACCAAGGAATTCACTTTAGAACCAAGTGAAAATCAAACATGACCCTTTGGCCTTCCATTTCAGACATTTATGTAGATATTAGGTATTCTCATGTTTGGCTATAGATTGTTGCATAGAAATAGGCATAATCAATGGTATTATAAAGAAAAGCCTTTCATGTAGATACGTTGTCAATGTTTTTGAATAAGCATTGTGTTATTTAAATAAAAGCTTCATAATATGACTTGTTCTCAGGCTCTTGGTAAATAAAAATTATTCATCCAAAGAAAAAACGGGAAGTTGGGGGAACAGGAGATATGCATATCAAAATCACAATAGAGTTACCCTAAGAAAAGGGATGTTGGGGTTGGGGATGTAGCTGAAGGGTGCTTCAATTTTATGTGTTGTTGTTTTCCTTAAATATAAAGGATATTTGCAGTGAATATATCATAATGTCAAACAGTAGATAGATTTTGTGTGGTCATTTTTGTACCCTTGTAATTTTTTAAAAGGTGAAAAATAACAATATATAGTACTATTTGGTGTATTAGAAATTGTAGCTATTCGAGTAGTTAACAAACAAGCAGTGCCTAAGATGTGACAGGCCATGGTCTAGATACTACAGCAATCACAGGGGGACAAAATACTGAATGAATAAAGTAAAATATACCTTTATACTACATAGAGATGTGTTAAGGAAAAAAGAGCAGCGGGGAGGGATTTTTGAGAATTGTTATTTTAAATAAATTCCAACTCCCTTTAACCAAATTTCTGAAACTGAAATTAGCTATACATGGTTTTATTTAACTCTAAATTTAAGTTCTTGTTTACAGTACGATAGTAGGTAAAGATGGGTTAACACTAATTCTCTGCTCTCTGAGATACGGCACGTGACATTAAAGCTTTTCTGATTTGTGAATTATTTTCGTCTCAAAATTTTCTTGGAATAAAAATTTACTCCTGGATTACCCACGTTTTCATTAGGTATAGAAAGACGGGCAACAGGGTTGCTAAGACTACAGTCTTTTATTTCCTCGCACCGCCGCCGGTCCACCCCGCCACGGAAAAATACAAAAGGCCTAGCAGAGGATGGTTTCGATCCATCGACCTCTGGGTTATGGGCCCAGCACGCTTCCGCTGCGCCACTCTGCTTACCACGGCACTGGCCTTCAAAGTAATCACTTTATATATTTTACGTAAAGGGTTTTTTTTTTTTTTTTTTTTTTTTTTTTTTTTTAGGAACTGGGGAGATTTTTCTTTCAAAGCCCATTCGTTGATTTTACTTATGCTACAAACAAAAGAATGAATCCAAAACAGATTGATTTTATATATTCTGAAGGCAGAAAATTGGATGTTTCTGTTAGGAAAACAGCCGGTCCCCAACCCGTCTGCCCCTCTCACCTGGCAGAAGTGATTGCGGGTCTTACGGTCACAAACTATATGAATAGGTCAAAATCCGATAATAGAAAATGTCCGAGCTCAAAACCAGATCATTTTCAAAATTAGAATGATAAGGAAGAAAACGGAAGCAGCCTTGCATTGGCCGGGAATCGAACCCGGGCCTCCCGCGTGGCAGGCGAGAATTCTACCACTGAACCACCAATGCTTGCGGCATCACGTCTTGCTCATTTTCTAAATGACATTTACTTTTTTCACTCGCTATATAAGGT